GGGGGGGTTGTGTTCTTTTTGAGGAAAAAGAGGGGATGGAGAAGGGAAATTGGAGATGATCTACTATATTTCATTCTAACTTAGCATTAATAGGCCCATTAATATAACCTGGTGGCTAAAAATAATTCAACAGGTTCCACACTGATCAACTCTTATATGCGGAAGGAAATGTCCCTGTCTTATACTTTCAGTTTCAAAACAGCGCAAACAGAAGGCTCATAAATTATCACAAATTTGGAAAACTTAAAACAACATCTAATAGATGTGACAGATATGCTTTTGTGTAAATGTCAAAAATGCTATTTTCAGTGTCTAAGTCTTTTGTTTGTTCTATAAGAGAAGTCATAAATAAATTGAATTGCCATACAACAATTCGTTACCAAGAATAAGACAAAACATGCTGAAAGTTGAAAAACAAAAATGTAAATACTAAATTTCTCTTTCTTACAGACACTGTAAAAATCGAACTATTTTATCTGAAGAAAGTGCTTACTTGTTGGCTTTGTACTGAACTCTGGAGGTATAGTGGAAACTGGCTTTCCTGAAACATAATTTTCATCATGGTTATCTTTGCTTAAAATAAAGTACGTGGAAACACATTTGTTAATTAATGTAAGGGACAATTCGGCTCACTTTCTAGCTGCTGTGGCTCAATGCCTTTTGATTTTGCTTTGTATGTATGTATAGTATAAGGTTTTACGGTGCTCGCAACTGGATTTTGCTTTGCAATTTGAATAAGCACTATACAATGAAGAGAATGCTATCTCTGTTTTTCCCCCTTTTATTCACAAATGACATCAATTGTAATAATTCTAAGTTGGTAGGTGGTTCCTAACTATCCTGTTTGTTTTTTTTAATAATGTGAAATGGTGGAGAGAAAACTCATAATGCAAATTTTCATTCGACCTACTCCCAATTAAATAAAATATAAACAATAATATACATACGTGTAGTGACACCATCTAGGTCAATATCTGAAAACAAACGAGGAGATAAATATTAGAAACGTGTTCATTTGATTATCTGGAGGGATCCCCCTAGTAACAGCAGTGGTATACATTAAACTTTGAAGTTTTTACCGTTTATGTTAAATATTATTATTGAGAGAGAGAGAGAGAGAGAGAGAGA